CGTGGCAGTGAGCTGCCCTCCGCCCCTCTTGGCAGGGGAGCAGCTGTGAGCGGCTGAGGCAACACTCTCCTTTTCCACGAAAATGAGGCCCCTTGGGAGGACGGCCCCTCGGCCGGCCATGGGCACACAAGCTGCCATCGTGCTCAAGGCGCCGTGAGCCACTGTGGCCACAGGCCTCCCCACACCGGACCAGGTCCTCAGGTTGCTCTCGGGACGTCTGATGATGGCCTTCGGGACCCCACGGCTGCTTTCGGGTAGCCCAGGGGGAGCGGCAAAGGGACAGAGCCGCCAAGAGCAGGAACAGCTCCATCAGGTGGCCGGCGGGCCTCCTCCGCTGTTGGATTTCAGCTGCGGTGGGCAGCAGGGCGGCCGGAGGCGGCTCCCAGGGGCCTTCCCCTCTGGCAGGGTTGAGCACGCGAGCACAAGCGTCACGTGTGCCGAGTCCCGACGCGCAGCCAGACGGGGCTCTGAGCGAAGCTTTCTGTGCACGCGCCTGCCTCATCCTCCACAGGGGCTGTGTGGAGGCCTGCCCGCCACCCGCGACCAACGCAAAGGGAAAGCGGGTGGCGCCCACCCCCCAGGCGAGGAGCGTGGCCTGCACTGCAGGCCGCCTGGAGGAAGCAGCCGAGACAAACCAACTGGAGACTGCTGTATCACGAGTTGAACCTGGGGCAGTCAGTGCCAAGTCTGGGCAGTTCCCATTTGCCTGGCTCCTCACGGAAGAGCGGCCCCAGCCTCCCTGGGGAGGCAGGACCGGGCTCATGGCCTCCGCCGCGGTGCTGGTGCTTGCTAAATGAAAGCAAATCTGATGAATGTGTGCTTCCTCCCCCACCCTCGGGCCGCACCCCACCATCTCTGACCTGAGACGTGAGCCTAGGAGAAGCCAGATGGCAGGGCGGCCCTCTGCCCACGAAGCCCGGGGCCCCGAGCTCGGCTCAGCTTCCAGCCAGCTACCTGTGGGCTGGTCTGTGACACAGGAGGCCAGCACACGGCAGGGCTGCAGGGACCGGTGATCTGGCCCAGCCGGGGGTGCCCAGCCCAGGATCTGGCTGGAGGTTAGGTGTCCCGGGCTCCGGACTCCGTGCTCCCGGACAGCACCTGCTCCCATCAGTCCCGGCACAGCGCCTACCCCCTGGGCCGGAAGGTAGAGGGTCGGCCCCTGCCCAACCACTCTGGGAGGGGCCGGCGGAACCACGTTCCGGCCTCAGCGGCCTGCAGTGCTTCTGGGTGCTCTCCAGCAGAGGTTTCCAGAACAGGCTCTTCTACAGAAAAGGGGGGCTGGCTCCAGGGCCTGGGGTCACCATGTGGACGCCCAGGCAGTATCACTCTGGCTCTCAGAGGTGAAAGTTCGTATCAGAAAATGCAATAGCCTTCCTAGGAAAGGCCCTGTCTGCCTCCCGTAGTGATCGGGGACCTGTTCCCAACCTCCCCGGCTTCTGTGCATGCTGCTTTAGGGGCACATAAACCAGAGCACTGAGCCACTACCATCCTGTGAGTCAGTGGCCAGAGGTTAGCCTCTCGGCCAGGTTAGCTCCTCTGTCCAGCATGTTGCGGGCAAATGGCCAAGGCTGCTGGCCTGCGTTAGCTCCCGGGTCAGTGAACCGTGAATGCCGCAGACAGGACAGCGCCTGGTGGGGTGTGAACCCCCGAGCTGTGCCCCCTTCTGCGGGCAGCTGGGCTTCCCGCTCGTCCACAGGGTTCCCTCATCCCCACGGGGACCAGGCCACAGAGTGAGCTACAAAAGCCGCACATCCGTAGCGGTTCCATCAACGGCCTGAAACAAAGGCATCCCACGTGCCCGTGTGTGACGCTGCGTCGTCGGGACTGCGGTGACTCCGGCAAACTGAAATACAGGTGAGGAGCGCGTGTGGTGGTGCAGAGAGCACGTGTGGTGGAGCCGCCATGCGCCGGAAACCTGGTCACAGGAGCCGAAGACGCCCTGGAAATACCTGTCACTGTCCTTCCCGAGGCACAGGAACAAGCCCCTCCCTCCCAGTCACAGTCACGCTGTTCCTGCACCCACCGCAGGGCCGGAGGGTGTCCTCCTGGAGCGTGACGGCGGAGGACTCTGGAGGAGGCAGAACTTACACGAGGCCTCCGCGTCCTTGTGCCAAGTTCTCAGACACGAACCTCTAAACACCTGCAGGGACTCAGACACAAGGGTTTGTTAAGCACGGGGGAAACAAACCCGGTTTTATAGAAGGATCTACACTGAAAACCCTCTCGGGAGAAGTGCTGACATAAGGAGAGAAACAGATCCAGAAGAAGCTACAACGGGCCTGAGCAACAGGGAAATCAGAACCCTGAGCACGACACCAGCGACCCAACGTGAGGGTTCCAGCCGG